GCAGCATTGGATATATAGGCATCGCGAGTTTTAGACCCCAATTGGTTGAACATACCGCCGGGATCACAAATGTCACTTACGATGCGCTGAATATGCTGAGTCGTTTAAACCAACCCGGCGGCAATAAAGATTTTCCTAACATTCTTCGCGGCGTTCCATATCCACTCGTGACAAAACGTGGTGGAGATCACTCAATCCGCCATGTCTCAAACCATAGCGCCTGGGTAAAAATGGATAAGGGGGATTGAGCGCGTTTGTCTGTTGGCTGTGCACTTGAGGTCTAGGGTTCATTTGAAGTCTAATTTGTTGTACAGTTTCACTCCGGCTTACTTTTTGTTTATGTTCTGGCACTTGGCTTGCGGTGTCATGCTTTTGCTTTGATGTCGCCTTGGTCGCACTTGCCTTGACCGTATTGATTGGCTGCACCGCTTTCACTGAGTGATTTGGGCTCAAGTCGCCATGTTCAGGAGAGGGACTCGTTTACGGCAACGCCGCCTAGCAATTTAGATAATTGGGTATATGATATGGCTCCTTGCTAAATAGGTGGCTAGTTGTCAACCCTACGCCCAGGGCTGGCAGAGCAGAACCCCTGAACCCAGCTGGCAGAGCAGCCAACAGGGCAGGCCAGCCAAGCGTCAGGACAAGAACCAGGCAAGACCAGCCCACTGTTAGAATTGAAGCAGGGGCAGATGCATCTCTCGCGTTAGCTGCGGCAGCAACACCCGAGAGCCAGAGGGCTGGGATGGAAAAGCTTCAGAGGGGTGTATGCTCCTACCTCCCAGGTACCGAGCGCTGTTGCGCACATGGGAGAGATTTCACATCGAGTTGTTCAAGGGTTGTATTAAACATACCCCCTCACTTCCATCACACTCAAAGCAGTGTCTGCCATGTTCAGGCTGGAAACTACGCGAGCTTCAAGAAGCATGCCTTCGCAGCCAAAGGACACCATGTCCGCATGGGATACCACTGGAGTCAGCAACTGGACAAGACACTCAAGGACTGCATCAGGTCAAGGGTAATTAGCGAGGTCAGAACCAATCAACCTTTTGAAGGTCACGTGGCCTTGGCAGCAAAACTTCACGAACATGGCATGGCCGATTGACACTACGGCACTGCTCATGGTCGCATGCATCTTTATATGCAGGGAAATTGAAGTGGCTGGGGCGCTTGAATTTGAGTTCTATGTTCATGAGGATGGTGATTCTTGCAGTTTCAGGTTGCCTGCAACAAAGTGCCCGCAACAAAGAAGGGCAGAGAAGCCAGAGGCATCACAAGGTCAGTCGAGTGCTGGTGTGACCTCCAACGACTCGGAGCCTTTGGGAAGCAGCTGGGCATCGATAATGATGCCCCACCTTCGTTTCCAAATCCCAGAGGCAAAGCGCTGACAAAGAGTCAGGTCAACGATGTCATCCGGAAAGTGGTCCAGGGTTATGACTTGACAATCTCTGCTCACACTTTTCGCATCACAGGTGCGAGACAGCCGCACAATTTCGTGGATATCAGTTGATGTCTCCCCAAATGTTTTCATCCTCGTAGACCAACCCCACCTCATAGATACTCATTGGATGCAAAGGGCGTGGAATGAACCAATTCGGAACAGGCATGGATGCAGTCAGTATGCAGCAGAAGTCAGAGATGGTATGCCAAAATGGGCATCGATTGTCCTACCATTGCGTTGCGCGGCAGATGGTCTTCCTCGGTGGTTATGACATACGAGTACCTGGCAGAAGCACCGCTGACGTCTTTGAAAGCGAAGATGAGACCCCCCAGGCTTCTCAGTGATGCCACTGCACGTGAAGTGTTACAAAGCCAAAGTGCCATGAAGTCAGGAACAGGATCCCGGCTTCTGGGGAAGCAGCTGCACCTTCCAATCTTGTGGAGGAAGATGCAGAGTTCCCGGGATATGTGCTGAACATGACGAGCTCCATGGTGCACATCAGGAAGGACACTGATGAGCAGACTCACAACTGGATCACCAGGTGCGGTTGGAAGTGGGCAGGAAAGAATCACGCCTTCTCCTCACAACAAGAGAATTGGAAGAAGTGCCCAAAGTGCTACCGCGTCAAAGCTGTGAACCACGATGATGAGGATGATGATGATGATGGTGATGATGATGATGATGATAGCTCGTCATCTACTTCATCCTCCTCTGAAAATTCCAGCTGAGTCAGGTGGCATGTTAGGGAAATGCTGCCCTGGGTGATTCTCAATTGCATCTGCCACCCAGGGGTCAGGAACCTGACAGAAACATTTCGACTCAGCAGCGATGTTAGAAATCAGTGAGTGGGTGGAAGGAGGTGATGAGTGATGCAATGATGTTTTCACATAATACATTAATTATACTTATACCTATTAAAATAGAATAATCGATATTATTTAATTTTATACCTGCTCATCCCGGATAACTAAAAATTAAAAATATTCAACTACGCCACCAAATCGAATCAATGCCGTAAGCCATACATACCATACAAAGCACCGTAGCATTCCAGGTAACTAGAATCGACCATACATATTAATCATATCATTAAAATTAACCCAATACCGCAAATACCACCTATCATGCGAAAATAATCTGAATATTATTAAATATACACTTGCCAAACAAAATAATTAGCATCCCGAATAACTAACTCCGGCCAATCATACTACCAAAACCAATCCAATACAATTTTTCTTATCATATGAAAAAATACATGCATTAATTAATATCAAAAAATAAATATTAAAAATTAATAGAATATGTTTCATATTTTTCGAAAAAATATGTATAATATAATTATATATATATATTACATGTTTTGTATATTTATTATGAATATATTAATTTATAAATTTCGAATTTCGATAGATATTTTTCCCAAATAGTGTATTCATATTAAAGGGTTCCGATGGTAGGGGTAAAGGCCGGTGCTTGATCAGGGTATTTATTTTAGGCTCGAACATTTTTCTTGTAAATTTCTGTATAAAGTGGCCCGTATAAAATGCTAATTTTGATTTCGACTGCGCAGGTTCGCACAAAGTGTAGGCCGCAGTTTTGGGCCACGGCATTTTTCCTGTCGATAAAATGACCCTTATGAAATCTTGTCATGTCTTTCAATTGTGCAAGCTCGCACAAATTGGGTGTCTATGTTCTAAGCCCACTCCGCGGCCTTTTTGCTGAAAAAACCGTATAAAGTTGTTTTTATACGGTAACTAGATTTAAATATACGGTTATTAAATATACGAATTGGTATTTTAGGCTACCTCTGGGAAGGTTTTCCGTGGCCCGCCAGGCCATTTAAACATGCGGAAAATAAATCATTTAAATATACATACAAGAGCTGTTGATAGTACGTAGGTTGTTATACTCGCATCATATACATATTGTATATATATATATAATATTTTATATATATTAATGTTCCACCAACGAGGTGGGGTTCCATCCAGACACGATTCAGTAAAAGTACCAGTAGGGCCCGAAAGAAATTCCACCCAGAGAAATTCCCATGAACCCCCACCCTTCCACCCAAAGAGATTCATGTTCCACACAACAGGTTCCACCTGGACAGGATCTAAGCTTGTTTTTAATTATGGGACCAGGGAATGTACTCCCAAAAAACACACCCCTTCAGATTTTGAGGGTACCCTGTTCACAATCTCCATATATTTCTGCCTCTAGCATCTAAGAACCCCAGGAGAAGTTATTATGTACTGATTCCACTGTACTGACATTTAAATATGCGGAACAGGCCCAGCCATTTAAATATACGGATGGAACTGGTATTTCATACTACCTCTGGGGCCTCGCGGTCTGGCCCGCCCTCCGCATCTTTAAATGTCGTTACATAATATATATATATAATATATATATATATATATCCTATGAAATATTAATGTGCATTTCCATCGGGCAGGCTCGCACAAAGTGCGGGTCCCGCTTGTAAGATTCAGTTCGGGCGTGGCATTTTTCCTGTAAATTTTCGTACAAAGTTGCTTTTATGTATTAAAGCGCATTTCGAGTGCGCAGATTCTTTCTTATTTCCGGGAGGATAAAAATGCAAAAATATATGTTACCTTTTTTACCCCAGGGGTTCAGGAGTGGCAAGAAGGTAGTGATGTGCCCCCCGGCCACCAGAAATTCGCATTTTACCGCCGTCAGAGGGTTGCTCGCGGCCATGACAAAGTAGGTTGACCTTCTGTTATATTTTAGCACCAGAAACATTCACAGATCAATGCCACGCAATGCCTGCAATTTGCCTCCACATGACTGACCCCTATGCCTCCGCAGCCACATGCAGCCACAATAAAATGGTTGGGCCATGTTGGGCCCTTGCCCCTGGATCCAATGTAAAACTGCTAGCGGCATTCAAACCATTTCAAACCCAGCTATTCAGGCAGAACTTGTTGGTGCTAGCAGCATTGTGCGTCCGACACGCGCCATCTCCGCAGAGGGTCACGTTTCGCAAACCGGTTTTGGCTGCCCCTGCCACCTTAAGAGAGAATTTAGAAGAACTTGAGAAGTAGGAGTTTCGTAGGAGTTCAGATACAAGTAGATCACCTAGAAGTTAAGTTCTGTGTAACAACTCCATTGAACTCCTGTGAACTCCTGTGCAAATAACATTGTAGGAGTTGTGTGGGGTATGTAGACATGGAGCACCTGCAGATGATGGTAGAGGATGAATGTGATGTACATGAAGTTGATGTAGATGATGAGAAGTTGATGTAGATGATGTAAGTGATGCAGATGATGTAGATGATGAATGTGAAGTAGATGATTGAAGACGATGTAATTGATGAAAATGATGTAGGTGATGGAAAGTAAGTAGGAAATGCTGTGTAGATGAAGTGACAAGTTGAATTTGGCAGCAGTTCTTTGGGAAAGACCCTTCGCAGGAGCTTTCGCTGTCCCATACCTTACTTACCCTAATATTAAAAGTAAGACTAAATATATCTAAATATAGGTTCTATATATAATTTGGATACCAACTTCAATAAATCGTTTAATTATTTCAATTGTTTGATCAGATTTCATTCAAGAAGCCTCGAACGAAAATTTAGAAGAGTCCATGGGGTATATATATATAATTATATAATGGTGTATATATATATATATATATTCTTTGTTATAGAAAATGCATGAACAAATGATGCGGGTTGATGCTGCCGGGAAGCAGTTGAGATCCAGTGGAGACATTGGCAACAGCTGCGCAAAAGCATTCTTGAGCTTTCCATGCCTTCACCATGGCACAATGCTGCTTATAGCCTATAGCCGTGAAATCGTCAAATGATGTCAAATGGAGATTGCTTTAGCCAAGATTTGCCCCATTCAGATGAATTATATCTGGCACACCCCATTTCTGGACAAATCCACATAGTGATACATAGTGTACGTCCCACGGGTTGATGTAGGAGGAAGAAAGCCTCATTAGCGGCCTGGGCCTTTGATCTTGAGGTGAAAGGTTGACAACCCATGACCAAGGTGAGATATGGGATGGAACCATTTCCAACACATCTTCCAAGAACGATTCTGCAGGATCCTGCACCTCTGCTGAGCTCGTAGCTCCAAGAAGGACTGCAACTGCGTCATGGACCTTGCTTTGACCTGCCATGGAACCCGTGGCAAATTTCTCGAATCTTGGAACTAAAACAACAGCCTGTGCATTTGATTTGTGGGGTGGAATAGAGTGATTAATGCAAGCCACCATCCCCCCACCAGAACAAACATCTCTGAAGAATCGGATATATGACATACCATACTCCATAAATCTCCGTAATGCCACTACCATTGCCGCAACTGACATCATTAATCCTTTGCTATGCCTGGCTATGCCTGGCTCGTTTCTTTTGGGCCTCCTTGAGCTCGGAGATGTCTTCAGCAAGGGCGTTGGACCTCAGGGCGGCAAACGGCAAACGGTACAGCGAAGGTGTCCTGCCTGTATGCATAGATATGTTCGTCAGTGTGTTTGTTTTGTTTTAAGATGGGGAGATACATATAGATTATATTATATTATATTCATATCATATTATAATATATTATATATAATATATTAACTATTATATCATCATCGAAGGAAGTTTAGAAGTCAAACTTCCGACAATATGGACAGATGAAAAGCAGAGCAAGGAAGAGGCAGAGAGAAGAGAAAAGATAAGAAGAAAGAAGAGGTAGATGCGCGAAAAGATAGGAACGTCGCGATTCACTGTGTTTTTCCAATGATTTGTGGCTCCGGAGGGTCGAAAAGTAGGCTCGCTAAAGCGGCGGGTGCGGAGCCAGCTGGCCAGATGAGACATGAAAAAGTGCACGCCGTTGTGGCGCGAAGCGCATTTCCAAGTCAAAATGGACAAAACACTAGAGGAGCGGACCACTTTTGGAAGTTGCGATGTCGAAAAAGTGCACGCCGTTGTGGCGCGAAGTACATTTCAAAGTGAAAATGTACAAAACACACCATTCTCGGAGCACTTTTGGAAGTTGCGATGTCGAAAAAGTGCACGCCGTTGTGGCGCGAAGTACATTTCAAAGTGAAAATGTACAAAACACACCATTCTCGGAGCACTTTTGGAAGTTGAGATGTCGAAAAAGTGCACGCCGTTGTGGCGCGAAGCACATTTCCAAGTCAAAAGTGTTAAAAACTGACGGTCTCGGACCACTTTTGGAAGTTCAGATGTCGAAAAAGTGTCGAAAAAGTGCACGCCGTTGTGGCGCGAAGCACATTTCGAAGTCAAAAGTGTAAAAAACTGAGGGTTTTGAGCCTTTTTTGACGTGAAGATGTCGAAAAAGTAGACACTGATTAACTTAACTAACTTGACTAACTTAACTAACTTCACTAACTTAACCACCCTAACTTCGACGACAACAGCAACAGCAACAACAACACACAACAACCACAACAACAACAACAACCAAAACAACTACAACTACAACTACACAACTTACAACTACACAACAACTAACAACTACAACTAGAACTACAACTACAACAACTACAACAACAACAACAACAGCAACAACAACTACAACTACAACTACTACAACTACAAACTACAAAACAACTACAGCTACAACTATATGACTGCAACTACACTACACTAATTACATTACACCGCAACTACAACTCCACTACGCTACAACTACAACTACAGTTGCAGTACATCACACTACATCCAGCAGTTGTGGGTGAGGTGACCACTGCAACCATTGCAACCACTCCAGCAAACACAACTCCAACCACCTTTCGGTCAATCAGTGGATTCGCTCTGCCATCCGTGATTCACAACAACCAACGTCTCCTATAGGTTTCCTATTCTGAAACTTCCGCCACCGCCTTGTGCGGTACTACTGGTAAATAAAGTTAAAGGTGGCCCTAGCTGCGCCTAATGGTTTGGGAAGCTACAAGTAGAGTCACAAGGGAGGTCAGTGAATCAACTCAAAAGATCTCACATTTTCATATCACTCGATATCACAGTGTATTTCCATCAGTTTCAGAGTGACACCACTGGAAGTGTACTAAGTCACTTGCTCCTTCAACAACGCCTGCCAAAAGCATGCAAATTGTGGGTTGATGTCACCTGCTACTTTGAGAACGCAGTTTGAGCACAGTCAAAGGCCTTGCGCTTGCGGTCCTCCTCCAGCATGTCGTTTTGAAGCCTGTGAAGCCTCAGCATGAACGAAATGAAAGTTGCTAAAATACCAATGAACTTCAAAGCGGCAATTACGTGGAGAGCAGTTGAGAAAGGGGAAAACAATGCCTCGTTCAAAGGGCAGGGGATTTTGATCGAGAGACTAAAGGACCATGTAGAAAAATATCCAGCCAACAGACCTACACACCCACAAGTGCTTCTCACTTAATTGCCATGGGCATTTTGTTCTGCAGAGACGATATTATTCTTCAACCTTGCGAATGCTGCATTTGCAGCAGCCAGTCAAGACTGATGCTCTATGTCGGGTGGCGCTTCCACTACCCAATTGAATGCAGAATTCGGCCGCGCCGCCCCGGTCGCCAGGATTTGCGACCATGGGGAACAGGAACCAACAACTGCAGATCCCTTCAGGCCAGTCTCATGCCATCTCAGAGTCTCAAGCCCAACCAAGATTCAGGCTGCTACCACCCCCAGGTGGACGTAGAACTCGAGTGGTTGGCGTGTCAGAAAGCACATTTCCACAATTTTGATCTGCTCCATTGGCATAGGAGTTGGATGACACTCGAACTCGTTGACCGAAAGCTTCACCACCGGCAGCACGACCTGCACGACCTGCTGCTGGAGCGGAACTGGTGTCCCAAGCCAGACTCATCTCAGAATGACCCCCAGGTGGCCTTGAGACACGGGTGGTTGGAACTCCGGTCAACACATTTCCGGTATTCTGGTTGTGGCCACTGGCATAGCTGTTGGAACTTTCACGTGGTCGAACTCCATAAATCTCCTCAGGCGGCCTGCGAGCACCGGCACCAGCAGGTGCACCAGGTGCGGCGGGTGCTCCGGCGGGTGCCCTGGCGGGTGCACCTGCCGGGGGGCACTGCTCTGTCCATGGCATGGCCCCTTTGCCGCCTTTGCCACCTTTGCCTCGTGGTTGGGGCGGTGGCTCATCCCAGCCAAGACAAAGGGAGGATTTGCCTCCAGGTGGTGCCGCCACCCGTGTGGTTGGGATGTCTCCGATGGAATTCCCACAGTTTTGATTCGAGCCATTCGCAAAGCTGTTGGAAGACACCTTGGGGCGAGCACCAAAGACTGGATCTTGACTCTCAAACATTATAGAGAGGACGCAATGGCGCAACGGCACACTCTGCTGGTGCGATTGAGGCTGGTGGCGGCTTGAGCCACGAGACAAAGTAGTACAATCCGTTTCAACTCATCAACTCCGGGAAACCTGTGCCACAAAATGTGCTTGCATTTGCTTGCATCATCTCAACTGGAATTGTGATTTCGAAGAAAATCAACACGACGATCGGCTACTTAGGATCCCGAACTTCTCGAAGCAGTCAGTGAGAAGTTCCTTGGTCCGACCGCTCACTCAAATGGACAAAGGCATGGCGCAACAAAACCTTTTACGGATCTAGATCACTTGTTGGATCATCACATGCTGCCAAGGATCATGGGGAGCATGTTCCATCGGTTCAGAGGGTTTGGTTGAATCCAAGGCCTCAATGAAATAAATGCCAGCCTTCATCAGGTCTTGCAAAGGTTGTTGCCAGTGGACATCCGGCGTTGCTGTTCGCAATCTGGAAATGATCAAAATTCAGAGACCTCAAGGGACCTGAGGCAGGCACCGCCTGCACAGCATCCATCAAAACCTAGGAATGGCAATGGGGGCAATGGAACTCTGCTCTTTCTTCCTTTCAGTTTGACATCGCCTCTGGGGCCATAGCTTTTTTGTAGTCTTGATGTTTATGCCATTTGGCTTCAGCATCATCCACCTGCAGGAGCCAAAGTAGCCATTCCGCCCATGGCCCATGGCGAATTCTGCAAGCCGTCATGGACGGCAACCCTCAAAGCATCTCAAACCACATCCGAAATCCAAACGTGTCGAAATGTCAAATGTCAAAGCCATCAAACTCATCCAATGATGGAAATAGTCGCCATCGAACCTCCTTCCGAAACTCAGCCGTACTCCTCAGAAGCCCTGAGAGCTCGCGCTCAGCCTGGCAGCCCGTAGCAATTCATGGCAGTCCACCTAAATCAATCCACCCGACCATGTGCAACACGTGCTAAACAAAATGGATCATTTGCAATCTGTTAGACTCCGCTGGTCATGTTTTGCGCGACTTGGTTACCAAGTGAGTGTGAGATAGTGTGACGCACAGGAAGAAACGAAACACATTGGACATCATTGGACGCAGTAGTACAAAGACCGAAAGCCCTCTTGAACTCTTGAAGCCTGGCTGAGAACATGCCAATGGATTTGCCTGAAGACAGGATCCCCATGGATATGTCCAAATCGTATGGTTATCTTAAGCCCATGTTCAAACACACCTATGTTCTCAACTGTTTGTATGTCTTGCAGCCGCGCGTGCCTACCTCAGCAATGCGATGTCGAAATTCCCTCACATCCAGTTGCGTCTGCTCATCGAACTCCCGGAGTTCCTCCTGCAAAATCGGAGGGATCAGCTTGATATGAGATACCTACTACATCCTCATCGGATCATTCAATATATATATATATTGTATTATATATATATTATAATATATATATATACTAGTTCCAACATACAATACTTGCAGTGGTGCGCCCTCTGGACACCACAAGGGGTGCAGCCAGAAGCCACCGCAAGAAACAGCAGGAAACATCCCATGCCAAAAGAATCTAAAAGACCTGACCTTCCAAGGGTCCAGACCTATATAGGCTATATATCCCCTGTAGCATCCTGTACACATACCAGGTATATGGAGGAATCCATGGCATCACCTCCCCATGCCGCCTTCACCAGCCGCAGCTCGTGGTACGGGACCACCACGGCCGCTTTCGCTGGATCAAGGCCTCTGGAACTCGCAGGGCCCAAGACTGTGCCACCTTGGATGAAGTGATGGCAGGTGGGAACCAAAACGGTTGAATCACGATTGAATCATGTTGAATCTGGAAACTGCAGTAATCATTAATCGTCTATGGACACATCTTGATCTCTGAAGTTCCACTCCAGAATAATGGCCTCGAGGTGGTGTGTTTGCACTCCTGACTGGTCCAAACACTGCAGATTTTCTGCAGATTTCGAACGTGTTTCACAGCGGCTCTCCTCAGGCTGTTCGCGTCCAACATGAAACCTCAGTGCCAGGCAGGACCATTGGCTAGCATCTGAGGGACACGGCAGGTATGTGCAAATGAGTAAGGACAAAACATACATTTCGCAGATTGAATTAAACGTCAATGTCCGCAAAGTCCCTATCCCCATAAACTGGCTCTCCATCCGCTTATCAAACAAGTTATCTATGCATATCTATGCATCTATCGCCTGGCTGTTCAAGAGTCTACACCCATTGGACAACCGCTTCCCCCCGGTAGCCGTGATCGCCAAGTCACAGCTCTCCGAGGAGTTGCGATCGAGCCCGGCTGGCCTTGGCGACGGAATGACGGGAGGACCGGCACTTCGACGGCAGCAACTCAGGGAGGCACAGCGGTTCAAACGGCTCGCCGCCATCCTGTCAAGGAGCTGGGGATGAGAACATGATTTCGCCGTCTGTAGAGAAATCTCTGGCATATGGAGGATATATGTACGATTATGTGATAATATGTGATATTTAACATGCATAGGCGGTCTTATAGCTGCTTGTCAGCTTTCCACTTTCAGAAGTGCAACAGCCTTTTTGTTGCCCTTTGCGTTCGCAGGGCACTCCACTGTACAGTTTTTTTCCCTCAAAGTCTAGTACATTGGCTTGGCACACATCGATCTGCATGGTTCGCAAATGTTCGCCGCCCTATATATAGATCTTCATGATCTCTGGACGGATCATTGATGTAAGCGATGAGGTGTTGTTTTCCTCGCACTGCTCAGGGCAATGATGTTGGATGGAAATTTACTGTTGGCGCAGCAACCTCCTCCCAAAACTCAAGCAGTCTCCAGAGCCACAAGAGGTGATTCTTCGTCAAAATCATCTGGCCTGCTGTAGCCATCTCACCTCAAAGTTGTACACCACATCTGCATCTCAAAACTGCAATACCACAAGGATTGGTGAAGCAGGTAGATGTAGTAGATGGACCACGGTGGCATGGTAATGGTCGGACCCAGTGCTGCAAGCCCACGGTGGTTGTATCCAGTGACTGCTGCCTGCTTGGATGACACTCTCGAGACCAGTTCAAGCAACTCTGCCTTTGGTCCGGTGACGCGGCGCATCCTGCGGGCGGCCCCGGTGCAGTATGAACAACATGCGCAGCATGCAGAGTGACTTAAGTTATCTTTTCATATCTTTTCCACTTTCAATTAGAATAAGATTGGATGATAATTTCCCACATTTTTCGTATAAGCCTTATTGCGGATGCCCACTTGAGCTGGCAGCAAGTACAGTACGAAAGATGCCTGGAGCCGTTGGAAGTTTACACAAACTCCAGCTCCTTCCACAGGCGATGCATGGCTTCACCACGAGGTGCCATGGAAGGCAACAAATCGCCGGATGCGGCGCGCATGTTGCAAATCAGCTGCATCTTCTCCTGACCACTTCACATGGCTTCCTACACCACATTGCCAATGATTACCATGTCCAACTTGATCTGGCTCCAGGCGTTTCATCACACAGAACCTACATTAACCTACATTAACCTACATTAACCTACATTAACCTACCATGTCCCTAGCATTCCCTACTGATGAGACCTGCTTCACTGAGCCGAGCTGCAGTGCTTTGATCCGAGCAGATCTGCTCAGCTCGTCGATCCCTCAACATCTCACCTGAGTCTGCGAGAAGTGTTGAACAGAAAGTGACCAGAGTCACTAGAGATCACTAGACCAGAGTGTCTAGAGCAGGAAGCAAAAAGCCATGCCCAGCTGTTGGTGCCGATCAGAATTTCAAATCAAAAATGTCACAGCCTTCATTGCTTCTTTTGTTGGTCCTGAATTCCTGTCGCTGGCAAGCCACTGGGCGCGCACCAATCCAGCAATTGGAATTCACGCGTCTCTTGCAGCACCGCTTCACCTGCTTGACGCACTAAGTCGGAGAAAGCGCCACTGGACACCCAACGAGCGCAGAAGGCCTGACGGGAACTGATGGAGTTGCCAATTTTTGGGGCTCTCAGGGCCCCTCACTGCAAATATTGTAAGATGAAAATGCCAAATACCAACCTGGCGAATCATTGATGATTCGATGATACTGAATCTGATAGTCATTTCTGATACCGATATATACTGATATGACGAATAAGATCAACAATAATCAAAATCCTGAACAGCAGCAATCATCACAGCAACCATGGAAGACCCAACACATCACTCATATCATCTCATAGTATATCATCATAATAAGCTAAACTCATATAAACTTTGTATATATGATATATGCAGACATATTATTGTCATATCATGTATGATCACCACATGTCACGTCGACATAGCGCCAGCTCCTGTGTTGGGAAGCAGCACTTCTCATGCACGGCCAGCAGATCACTTGGACCTCCCAGGCACGACGTCCAGGAGCTCGGTCCCTCGCCCAAATCCCAGCACCAGGCCTTGGAACGCGGTGGATAGCTGGATGGCCAGCAAAAGAAACATCCAAAAAGATGGATTCAGTGGCATAGATGGCATAGATAGTACAGTATTTCAAAGCACAATTGTATATGATTGTCCTAGTGAACTGAAGCACTTATTATCATTGAGCTCCTTTTGGATCGTAACTAGCCTCTTCTTCCAAGCTCCTGACCGTTTGGATCTCCTCTTGGAAGCGCCCGTTTCGTTGAGACACCTCAGAACAGGATGCAATCCATTGACATAGCCGCTAATTGCTGGTTGAACGTATTGAAATCTGCATGTCTCACGGAATCTTGTTGCTCTGTCCCTGGTGCCTTCAACCCTTCCAATGTCGCAAAGTGGGTCGGGACAGGCGGGGCTTGTAGAGGCAATAGCTCAGACAGGCCATCTGGGGAGGTCAAACCGTCCAGAACCTCAGAAAAGTTCAATGCCATTCAATGCCATTCAATGCCATTCAATGGACTTGGCTGGCGAAAATAGTCTGTGGGGAAATCAGTTGCGGGGACCTGTTTTGGTACCTTTGAGTCTGCATCACTGCCATCTTTCAATTTGGCCAGGTGGCTGCCTGATGCCATGAAAGGTCAAAGACTGGTCTGTACCAAGTGAAACTTTGCCGACTCACCTGCGCACAAGCTGGCCCAATTGTACCGCAGGGTGTAAGAGCATGCCAGAATGAATACATGTGGCTGCAGGCAACTGGGTAACGTCTAAAGTCCAAACTCTAAATTTTCAGTAACTTTCATTCACTGGAATCGTTTTGGCTCGACTGGAACTCATGCAGAGCCTCCAGCAGTCCTTGTCCTGGCTGGGGATGGCTCTGCCGCCTTCAAAATCACAAGACTCTGGACAAGACAGGGACAGGAAGAGTCACAAGAGTATAGTAGAAGTACCCTAATATATTGCACAACGACATTGCTACATCTGGAGGCCGACAGAGCAAGCAATTCACAGCTCATATGAATTCTGAATATGGGTTGGTTATCAACAGAAATTCGGAGTCTTACATTCTGCAACGCGACGACAAAGTCTACCCTCTGGTGAACTAACATAGCAATTGAAAATGGCCATAGAAATAGTGGATTTTCCCATTAAAAATGGTGATTTTCCATTGCTATGTTAGTTCACCAGAGGGTACTATACATGACATTTGCATAAATGAGCACCGTGAAACGCCAGTACCCGTTCCCGCCTCCACTGTGCCAGACCACTGGCAGTGAGATTGGGGCATCGAAGCGCCTGGTTCCCACCCAACAGCCGCGGTCGATGCACGACTCCGGCCTGCAGCAATGGCATCAAGTTTTCTAGTGAATCGACCATGATATTGGATATTGGACAAATATGGTATCAATATTGAACACATATTGATATTGGATGATATTGGAACAATGAAACAAAAAGGAAACAGCCGCAACAGGACGGCCTCAATCGAGGTGTTGGACGTCAACAGCAGATGAACTCCACCGCCTGGCTCGCATGGACCACCGCCCACTCGAAAGATGCCCACGACCTGGGCTGGGGCATCACGTTGCTATGAACGACCCATGGCATCTGGGGAAGCCGGACCAAATGGAAGTAGATGCTGAGAAGCTTCACCTGGATCTATTGTGCAAAGAGGGACTATAATACGGATATATCAAATATGAATGTACAGGAAACAAATATGAATAATATTGAATATATAATTGAAAATAGTGTGAATATTAGATTTTTTGAGGGGGGTGTTTGACTCCAAAAAAAAGGGGAGCAGAGGGTGAAATCATGTGAATCTACTCAGAGTTTCCTGGCATCTCAGTAGCCAAAACATCTAGCAACAGATCCCAGAAACATCGCTGGTCTCGAGAAAATTAATAGCACGGGCTCGAGGATTCAATCAAGACTTTGAAATTTTATGGCTCAATGCATCAAAGGCATCCAATACGCGCATCAATAGTGTGGCGCTCATGAGAAACCTTTGCTGCCTTTGCTCATGCCATTCTGCATCATGCATTTTGAAACAAACTTGCATCATGCATCATCATTGCATCATCGGAAGCATCTCAGAAGATTCTCAGAAGCACACCAAATGGTCCTTCACATCGGGCCTGGTGCCGCGAAATCAAATGTGCTGTGCTGTGGATGGAATGCTCTTCGCGCCCGGTGCCTGAGTGAAGACGAGCTGGCTGCCTCCAAGATGGCTGAGCTGTGGCCACGCCCCTTGCGACGCCCAAAAGCACTGGCTTGCAGGTCACATCAACAGAGGTGCAGGATGTCAGTATGAGCATTTGCGTGCATTCATATCATATAATTGCAGTACTTATGATTTCATACGATATTACATGGCATATCATGGCATTAAAAAGGTATTTCAATACATTTGAATATTTTTCCGGCCTGCCGGATGGACTATAAATTGTGAAATCCAAACACCGGAAACCAAGCTATAACGAGAACCATCAAGAACCTCAGTCCAATATTTGCGGCCGAACCATCAGTACCTGGCGTTGAGCGCCAACCGGCACCCGCTCCACCAGCTTATCCGTCAGGTCATATCTGAGCCCACAGGCTGCCAAACGCTGCCACGAAGACCGTTTGACCCGTTAGTAACTATTAAACTATTATACAAGTTGCAGACAAGATATTATATAATGATAGCATATGATAGCATGATCTCAGTGTGATTCTCGTTTTGATTGCCTGTGGTCTGTGGCTGCCTCCAGCAATTCTAAATCCTAAAGACATGAACACCTGAGTCCGCGGCAAATTTCGCCTGAAAGAGTTGAATCAAAGGTCCATGCATGGCAGTATCTGGCTTTGTTTCTTGAAGGTTTGACCTGTTTGGCCACCCACCTGAAAGCAAAGAGGAAGGGATACCACTGCAGAAAAGGCGCCTCAAAGTAGCAGAGCTGACTGATGGGAAAGCATTGCGAAGCGAGACAACGAGTGAATGTGTGGATATGTGTGGTGATGCGGTGACCAGGAGCTCAGCTCAGGAGAACCAGAAATGCAAAGTCTAGGATTTCCCACTTCCTGAAATAAGCTTTAGCAGGCTAGCGCCAGTACTAGTAAGTCCTAATCAAACAAAGCACTTTACTCCTAGATTCGGAGGGTGACTAAAGTTGAGTTGCTCATCTTGTCCATGCCAAAGAAGTTACAAGTCGCAACTATACTACAGCATCTCTTGAAAGTGGCTCCATCAGGTTGAGGATGCCACAAGCCATCGATGTACGTGGACTGCAGTTCGCCCCATGGTGCCTTGGATTGGAAATAAAAACAGCAGCCGATCAGCAGCGGTGCTTCCGGAACGAGCGGCTCTTGACAGGGCGTACCGCATTCCATGGCCACCGTAGCTGGCCTGGCATCGTGTCACATCGCGGCAAGAGCTGATGACAAGACAGGCGAAATCTGAAGTTACGGACCGTACAAGTTCTAGCCTGTCTGAGGTGCACAAACAGGTCCTTCACCGGCACTCTAGTAGCACTAGCTAGCCATTCACCATGTTTCATCTCTTGATTTGGAAGTAACTTGTGTAACTTTGGAGGTGCATGCCAAAGAAACCATCCCTCTCGCACTTTCAAGCCAGCAAGTCGGCGCAACACATGAAGGGCAAACGCAAATCAGACAAGCTTCCAGCAAAAACGTCCTCACGCTGCAAAGTATTCACAGCTCAGTCCACCATTTCTCATTGTCAATCTAGCAGGCTTTGGGTCTTGCTCCCAACCCTCAAAGACACACAGAGATCCAAATGCCATGCATAAGTGCACCACTCCGCACGTGCAACCTAGAATCATCTGCGATGTAGAATGGCATCAGCGCCTGGAGCTGCATGGATGAACACAAAGTAAAAGAGAATGAAAGTGGTCCATGATTATAGCCAGCTAGAAGATGTTGCAAGTACGGTTTCAGCGAATGGCTACTGGACTCCACAGTCAGCACACTCCCTCGATGGATCTCTCTCGATGTCTCCACCACTCCACTGATCACACTGCACACACTGCACAAGGACCACAAGTTGTGCCAAGGGGCATCAATCCATGGGACCCAAATGCGTCGTAGAAATGGCCTCAACGCCAGCCCAACTGTTGCCCCTGCTTCTCAACTTTCCATCGCTGAGGTGACGAACCGTCCCAGTACCTCTGGCCTTAGAAACGGTCACAGTCGAACAGCGCGATGAAACCAACCGATGGCCACCGCTCTGACTATCCCATGCTGCGAACAAGTTGAATCCCATTTTCTCAAGGATGGCTACAGCCAGCTAAAGATATCCTATGGTGTCCTAGTCACCTAGTCACCTAGTCCTATACAAACCAACATTGGCACTACCTTTGCAGAGCCCTTTGGTTGGTTTGAAAATACGAATCAACGGACCGTCCACTCAGCTTGACGGAGAAGACTCTTCAGCCTTGGGCGAATCGGGCAAAGTATCGTTCAAAATATCTCTGAAAACTGCGCTGACAGTAAACAGGCTTAGTATAGGTGTTGCAAAGACTGCGCATCAGTGTGTAAGATTGTGTAAGAGTGTGCAGCGTGTGTTTAACATCTTTAACATTGTTTAACGTATTCTTTGCCACAACATGCCAAAACAACATAGACAAAATCTCAATGGACTGGTCTAGAGAACATCTACAGGAAACCATGTTTTGACCCCCAAACAATCCCAAACATAGATGAATTATAGATGTTTCCTGTGGAATTTCCCTTCGACCAATTCAGAAAAACTTTGATGACAAAAGAATACATTCCAGAAAGCAGATTTGCAGACTATTTCTTTGATTGCAACATATTGCCACTCAACCCCCCTGTGATGCAGACCAGTTCGGTCAGCCACTGCCGCATGATAGCAGCGTCGTCTTCCTGTGAGGATCTGTGGCGTCCACGCTGTGCAACCAGGACAACAATGGCACACGTTTGTTGAACGAAAAATCATCCACACCCATACGCACTGAAGTGGTTTTCTATGTTTTTCTACTGCCATTCGTCTCATGGCAGGGTAATCCTATGTACCTATTTTTTTTACTATATCTCGTGCGGGTGTGTATGTCAATATGACTCGATTATCTTTATTTATATTTATATATATATATATATTTGTGTGTGTGTAGTGTGTGTGTGTATTTATTTATCTATTTATTTACTGATATCTATCACAATGCAGTGTACATGCATATACACAGTATGCATCAAGATGTTTTGTTCACACCTCTACAGGAGGAGGAAATGGAATGATCACAGAAGATAGGAGAATCACTCTAATCACAATGATGGAAGAATTCTGTAAATCGATCTTTTCTTATGTAACTTTACTATAACACACAGCGAATTTGCTCTAAATTCATCTCTGGTGCAGTTTGAGAATTCCACTGTCACACAATCCAGGATAGTCCAGGCAATGCTTGCGGCAAGCATCTGGAAGGGTCTTCATTGGCGCTATGTCCTTGGAAGCGCCGCGAGGCGCGCATCCGTGATGCATCCGTGTAAAGGTGTCCCCCTTTGTTATGCATGCAAAAGATTGTAAAAGATCCACGCGAATCTTATGTTATTTCAATTGATTCAATAGTCCGCCACCAGTGCGGAAGGTCTTCATGCAACCAGCTGCTGTGGCATTCTTGAAGCCCTGCGGGACAGCTTTGCCCCGTGGATAGAAGCCAATGTACCAATGGAAGTAGTTATAGCCTCGAAAGAGCTCAAACACTCATGAGATCTCATGAGACTAGATTGTGCCCAACCTAGCCCAACCACTGCGAAAACTTTGTCGGTATCCTGACAGTATATAAATCGTAGGAACGGGTACAGTAGCCTGGTTCCAATCTCAGGTTGTTGAACAAATATATGTGTGATCGCCGAACCGTTTCCACAACCCCCACTGACCTGCCAACGCTCATGACAGCCGGTGCTCTGAGACAGGTGTGAAACTGATCGTCTGCCAAGATGTGCCAAGATGCTGCTTTCGGCTCGATGGCCAGGCCTTTCCAACAACGGTATGTTCAATAATTAATTAGATTTTATCAGACAACAAAAGCTTTCTCAAACATAAATGCCAAAGGAAATCTTGCGAGGCAGGACCCCAATTTCACCACTGTAGCATTGCCCTGACCCAACTCCCCTACTTAAAGCATCGCTGGCGCCTGAAGCTTCCAAACCAGCTGTCGCGATGCGTTTCAACACTGGGTCTTGTCCACACGGCAATGTTGAAGGGGCAATCATTCAGTTTGAAATAGTACCTGGTCGTGGCAACAAATGCGAGGCTCTGGAAATGTGTGGCCGGCCTACTCACACATTGTCAGCCCTTGCTTCCTTGTGCAAGCGTTGTTGACACCTACAGAGTGTGGGAAATAGTGAGCCAAGACACATTTGGAGGACTCTCTTGAGGACATGGGCCAAATCCTCCAGTTCCATCACGGAAATTTGAAAAAAGTCCTGAGCACTGCCCATGATCACACCAGAGGCCAGAACAAGGGAAGACCGGAAGACCCAGCAAACCAAACTCAATGACTTCACACAATGTGGAAACACAACAGAGGGATGGAAACACAGCCATCATAGTCGCAGGCCGGGCATCGGGTGAATGCCTTTTGGGCGCCAAGTAAAGACGCCAGCGCTCACGACAAGCGAAAGGTGCTGACACCACGAAGTGCGCGGTCTCCAACACCAAACGCTCGGAGGCCAGGTCGCTCTGAGCGCCAAAATGCCAGACAGTCATGGCAAGCAGGAAATCCAAATTTGAAATCAGGTAGTAATCATGACACCACCCAACTTGTGGAACTAAAAGTAGTTTGAGAGCATGGCTTTTCACGGCTACGCAGTCAAGCTACGCCCGTTGGTGCCGAAACCAGCACTTGGCAGCCAACACATAGTCCGAAGCGTTGCTGTAGCCGTGCTGCTCTAATTAGCTGCACCTTCCATGATGTTCAACGAGGCTGGAACTTCTCATGCCATGCACATATGCATATAATAAAATATCGCATCCCTATATCATTGTCAAGGATCTATTTTCATCATGTTTCATCTATTTTCGGACATCTACTGACTTTAGATCTTCTGATTCTATGATGTGGTCGATCCATACGCCTCACAAAAATGGGCTTCCAAAACCATGACCAACTGAACTTCTTAACTTATCATGACTGTGAAAGCCATCAGGACTGAAGCGATGTCTTCCGATAGTCTGCTGGAACTGGGCACCCCACATCCACCGAGCTGGGGACAAAAGGTGTGGTGATGATTTGCCAGTGCGCATGCACAATGCTTCCGCATTTGTGCTGCTTAAACACCTCACATTGGATGACGGTCAAGAGCCATTCTGAATGTCGTCTTGTCATGTTGGATCTGTTGGATCTGTTGGATGTGGACTGAGCCCAGTCTGGGCATTGCTCACAATGCGCACATATCCAACCAAGGCGCAGTGACGTACCCGACCAGCGGATTTGCTAGAAGCTCACGGCCCCGGATCACAATTGCTCGCAGGGTAAGGCCAATGCACCTTTGGAGATTCCCACCGCAACCACTGCCGGTACAGCTTAAAACAAACTCCTATGATCTCCTATGACATGCATCGTTCAAACATTGAATATGTATGAATGCTGATGCACATCAAGAGTAATCAAATTTATTTGAGGTCAATGGCGCAGTGTGCAAGCAACATTGCAACATCATTCACTTTGTTTCAAGCCACTACACGGCAACTTTAAACGTGAAGTTCTTTGCTTTCGTATCCAAGGCACTCGTCCTGCTCAAGTGCCGCACACATATTGTGCAACGGAGTTTCGATGACGACATCATTGAATCCCACACCAGGCACCTGTGGTGATGTGATGCCCATGTGATGCCACAGTGATGCCGTCTGCCACAGTCCATTGAGCTCAGGCCCCCGCCTGCAAATACAAAGGGTGCCCGACTCGGGGGTTGATCATGTTGCCACCTCGATCATCCAGGAAGCCATCATCGCAGCCATCGAAGTAGTACTCCCGGGGGACGCTCATGCTTGGAAAAATATTGCGCACCTCATGGCGTGAACGGCAAACTGAAGGTGCAAGGAAAGTAAAGAAATGGGAGGCACAGTCCCATGAGTAAACACAATGGAAATCAGTGCAAGCCAACTGTTTGCATAAGCTACATAACATTACATAACTATCTCTATCTCTCCCCATCGCCTTCTCAAATAGTTCTGCTACATATGGACCTATCTTGCTGCGTCTTTTTGCACTTACTTATCTATTTCACAGGAAGTGCATGGTAGCGCATGTTTCCGGGCAGCATGCTGTCTCCACTTTCATAGTTTAATTACTTAGCACTTGAATGAGACCTTCATGTGATATTCTTCGTTGATGCATGTTGATGCGATGTTTCAAAAAGGACCGTTTCAGTTCTTGACCAAACGGCAAAACCAATCTGCAACGCAATATTCTTATCGGTTTCTTGTGGCTCCTGACTTGAGGCCCCAAAATTCTTAACAGCCGTAGAAGACATCCACCTATATCATCGTATATCCACCTCAATGCGCCCGGTGCCAAGCAACAACCCGCACTTGCCACGGTCTGCCGTTGGCTCGGGACCAGTCGGTTTTCAACTGATGCCCGGTCGTCACGGTTTCGTAGGCGTCGTACTGGACGGGCCAAGCAAGCTGCACTCCCAAAGTCATCACAGGGGTCGTGTCAAGTGTTGGCCCTTTCAAGAAACGTCCACATCATCCACATACATCCACTAGAATCCACTAGGCTTTCTGAACCTTGGAGCTGTTTCACATGCAGAAGGTTGTCTTGTCTTTTCAACAACTGGCAAACTGGGGAAGTGGAGACAGTCCCGCCGGCCTTCCAGAAGTTCGCCAACAATATGGTCTCGGTGCCCCCCGTCTCAGCCTCATGAGAAAAAGGACACTGCACCACTCTGAGGTATAGCTCACATGCTGATATACTCAAAGTAATACTGGAAATCCATGCGATGAATATCGATGAATCCTTTGCCTTTACAAGCAATGACAAGCTTACATCGGCTTTCCACCCGGAGAATCCCGTCGCGCCTCGCCCTGAATCTTCCTTAGCCATGGTCGCAAGTAAATGCTAGAATACAAACCACAAGGCACGAAATAAACATCAAAATGGCAATGGATGGCAATGGGGCATGGAAGTGCCATGTCAATCCAAGATCTGTGGCTTTCAGGTGGCCAAGAAAAGGACCAGCAAATAGGCCGAATATGTTCAACTGGACACCACGTTCGATGCAACCCATGATTCGAGGCTTTTGGCACAGAGTTGCGTACGGCATCGCCTTTGGACGCATGGCATTGCGGTCCTCCCGGGACCAGAGCAACTTCTACACGTACCGCCGCTATATCTCTCTGCCCTGTGTCCGACTTACATCGTTGACCAGACCTTCTTTCGAAAAATCACATCGCCCTTGATGGCCTGCCTTGACAACCAGTACCGATAGGGCCAACTGAAACCCAAAAAGGTGCAAATGGCATAGGGGATGAACCCCAACCACCTTGGAGGTGAACCCCCAGTGGTTCCGATCATATCACTGCGAAAGCTGACTTCTTGTCCATCTTCCTCCACCAAACGCAACACCTCGGAAGTGTCGTGGTGCTGATCCGCCGCCTGCGCCCGGCGGCGCAAGGCGTGACGCTGTTCTTCGTGCTCATGGCTGGTGGCCCAGTCACCGACTTCCCAACTCACTTCAAAGTGGACCTGCAACAAGGGAAAGTAACGTAGACCGTAGGCAACATCGCCCGTGACATCTTCCCATTGCGAAACTTTCAGTTGTTCCGTCAAACTTGCAGTGGCCACACGAACCTCATAGGATTCCGTGTGTATCGTGCCATCTTCATCAACAACTGTGGAAGTCCGAGTCTCCATGTGGTAGCACTGGGCGCGCACTTCAGGAGCTGGCCTGCAAGCCTTGATCTTCTGAATGTGGTCCAGGATGCCCTCAGTGTGCTTCAACATCTTCAGCCCCTTGGCCGTTCGGTTCAAGAGCAAGGCCTCCAACAAATACAAAATATAAGCAATAAAGGACAAGAATCTCCGATCCTTTCTGCCCAGCTTCCCCCTTTGTCGGGAACATGGCCAAAGCTTCAACATGTGAATGACAGAGGCCAGCGCCAGCATAAAACTTGACACAGGAACGGCCACGCGCCAAAAAGTTGATGGACTCTCAGATACCGGCTCATCTGTACCTGTTTGGAGCCGAACATAGCCCTTCGAATCTGGATGTGGAATACCATCAATCTTCACCATGGTCAAATCAATTTGCCCGTCTTCAGCCAAGTGTTTAACAAGGCCATTACCTTCCACCGGCACGCCACAGGCTGTGATGACTTTGAAGGTGTAGGGATACATCCCCAGTTCTCGGGCCAATAAATCCTTGAGCTGCGCAGCTTTACTACTGGCTGGGACATCCACTCTGCACAGCTCATCACCAGCCAAGTTTGCCAGAACCAAGCGCAGTTTGGTCTCCATGGCTGCCGCTGTCAAAATAACTCAAACTAAGATGTGCTTCGTGTGTATTCCGTATTCCTTAATCAAGTGCGTATGAATGCAGTCTTTGAGGTGCACGGATAGACAAATCATAGACATCGTGAACTTTCATACAAGTATATAGGACATCATATGACCTTTTGATGCGATCCTTAGCCCTGCTTGGATACTACAGTACAATGTACAATATCATCAACAAACATAGCTGGAGGGTAGGTCCGTGCTGCACTTTGAGCCCAGACTGATGGCCCCAGATGCCCCAGCTGACATCGGAAAAGCAACTAAACACTGGTGCAAAAACTCACCTTGCTCTGATCATGATCTCCAAACCTGACACCTTCAATCTCCAGAGCACGCGTTAGACCACGTTAGACCACGTTAGCACACCCACTGTGCTCAGTTTGCAGCTAAGCCGCTCAAATCGCAAGACATCAGCAGCTTCAGGCACATGGCAGGCACAGAAGGGACAGCCATCCAACTGTTCTGGCTCCTCGTGGATTGGCCTACCACAGTTCGTATTTGGAGCAAAGTTTCATTCCCATTCAGATCATTCAGCTTTCAGAACGAGCCTCATGGCGACTTGTTTGCTCTTGCTTTCGGTTTGGCGAGGCTTCTTCTCATTCCCAGTGCCCAGCTGAAAGTGTGCCCACTTGCCGGTGAGAATGTCCTGCAGGTGGGCAGACACGCATCAAAACATGATAATTAAGTATAATGCCCTGTACAGTAGGCAAGTCAGTGGAAGCGAAGTACAAATGTTGAGTATTGTTGAGGTGTGGCGGGACGATCCCTCACCCAGTCCTGGCGAATAAAGCACATGCAAGGTCGATGTCCTTCACCGGCTTGCCCGGCTTGCCGTGCCTGTTCCAAGCATTGCCGTGCCTTTCCTCGCTCGGCATCCGAGAGGCTCCAGGTGGTCAGGTCCTGTCCAAGGCATCCACATGAGGATTCACATTATGACAATATGACTAATATATACTAATATGACAATTAAGTGACATGAACTGACATGAAATGCCATGACACTTTCTGACCAAAGACGTCTCCAGCTGTGCCTTGTCATCCTCAGTCCAGCACGGAAAGCAGAACCAGGGCTTTTTCTTTTTCGCTGCTTCTTGCCCAAAGGTCTCCGTTTCGAACATGACAGGAAGGACTGGCCAAGGCTAGAAGGGAATAGAAGATGCAATAAGTCGAATCCTCTTGGGATGCACCAGTGTCCAAACGCGCAAGCATATGAAGATTATGAAGGCAAAAAGAAAGAAAAATACCCATCTGAACTGGCCTGTCAAACTGTCAGCTGCGTCTTCGGGCATACTTGTCAAGCTCCGCGCCCGCACGCGATATCTGTTCGCTCCACTCATGGCTTTTCAAGAGGGAGGTCTACAGAGCCTCAATCGGAGTAAAATATTGTCATTGGACCCATCTCGCATTGTACCCGTCCCGCACTGAAACTTTCATGGTGGAAGAGGCATAGCCTCCGCCCTCCGTTCCATGTCTTCCTGAAAGTATGACACAGTTTCATGTAAGCGAGAACAGCCTTTCACAACAAATGAAATGCCAATGATGCTATCACGCTAACTCAATACTTTCTAAGGAATGAACTAGTTCATCCAAGCTCAATTCCAAGCCACAGCCGGGGGAACATGCTCATGCTCCAGATTTGCACCTTTATGATTTTTATGGAGGCCTGACACCTTGACACGATGTTTGGAATCCCCTTGCAGTCCATGCTAGAAACAGCTTCGGAAGGATGATCGTCAAAGTGAGAGTGACAAGCCATGCAAAAGTTAGCGCAGTCAAAACCAGCACAACTCGCATCCCAAACATCCAAACATCCATTCCGCCACAACGCTTTGTGTATTTGTCTACAGTTTGTCGCAAAATCCCTCTGGCACGAGTAGAGGCAACCCAAGTTACTCAAGTTCAAACAAGCTCCCAAGCTGGTGGCGGCAAACTGTAGTCCAGCTCAAAGATATGCTCCACCAGGCCCTTTCAAGGCATGTTGCAGGATGCACAATTTCAAGAGAGCGTGAGAGAGAAAAATCGTATATAGAGACTAAACATCTAGAACATTCAATCTATATCTATCTCATTCCAATTAGATATATCTATCTATCTATCTATCTATCTATCAATCCATCCATCTATCGATCTATCTATCTGTCCATCCATCCATCCATCCATCCACCCATCCATCCATCCATCCATCCATCCATCCATCTTTGATCAAGCCGAACAACCAACACCTATACAAATCATCATGGGTTCAGACGTGTTACCTCTGGAAGCAAAGCATCTGGCCGACTTTTGATGACAAGCCTCGGCACGACTCTGTCCATCTAACGATCAAAACGTGTAACGGCTCGGTTGTGAAATCACATGTTCCAAAGACAAAATGCATATTTACACGTGTGTGTGTGTGTTCATTGGTTGCTGGTTTATCTAATTCGCTACAGTATTGTGGATCTATGATCTAGTTTTGAGATGTTCATCTATGTGCTAGGTCATATACACCCATTATTAGCTACTCTCAAAGATTCTCGTTGGTTTATATTGTTTTCACTTCACAATGTACTTCAATCAACTTAGGCAAAGACACATCTGCGGCGACCGGTGCTAAACCCTGCACCTCTGCAAAAAATCGGAATGCGGCGCAGCATGCATCGCTCATGCATCGTTCATGTATCGCTCATGCATCGGTCACTGCCCAAGCTGCAACTCAGACGCCAACAAACTCAAGGCCAGCACGAAGCAGCGTATCCTTCAGGTCGTGCTGTGGAGACGGCCATAGTGATGGAAAGAAGGATATCGTGTCATTTATTGTGCCATAAATTGTGAAAAGAAGTTTCAAGTTAAAAGCCAAAGGTTATCATATGTTATCATATGTTATCAATATATGTTATCATTTTTTTTACAGTATCATATATGTTCCCACATCTTCCACATTTTGGTGGCCATTTGAATCATAGGCGGCCATCCTCCCCATCTCCTGAGGTTCCGATGAACTGAGCCTTGGGTCTACCTCGGCTGACCAAAATGTCCCCAATCAAAGTGGTGAATGCCAGGTGAACAAAGTGAGATCCTGGAATTTTTTACTGGATTATAATGGATTATTGTTATTATTATACACTATATCACTATATCTTTTTATTATAAATAATATGAATTATATAACATAATATATATCTAAATATATTTAATATACTTACCTTACCCATGTTGATGTGCAGGTGTCACATGCTGTGAGATGCTGTGAGGCGACTGTTTTTCCACATTTGGCCGATGTTTTTTTTTTCTCCGCACCTTGTGACGGCTTGTGATTTTCGGGATTCGAGGACTGCAGAAGAGACATGTGGAAGCCACTGGTAAACTAACATAGCTATTGAGAATTGCCATTTATAGTGGATTTTCCCATTAAAGATTGTGATTTTCCATAGCTATGTTAAATTACCAGGGGGTATATGGAATGATCCGGATATGAACTGGCCCAGAATGAATCAGTGGATCGCGATCACCGCCTCTTTGTTCTGCTCGCGGCCAAGTAAATGACCAAACAATGTGCAAAGAACGCTGCACCCCACGACAGTGCAGACTCGCGGGTCTGACTGGAAAGGAGCCTCAAACACTTGTGACACAAATCAGAGATCTTCAGTGAGAAATCACATGTTTATCATGTTTGGGCTGTCTCAACGGTTGTGTGCCTGTGTGCCAAGACCACTGTTCACAAACAGATTTACTTCACCAACGCAAAATGGAGTGGGAGCAACAGGATGCCCACCAAGCGCATGATGAACTTGCTGGAGGCAGAACGGTCATCGCCTTTCAGCACCAGAAATTGGAGGCGTTCCGAGCATGTTGGAAAAGCACCACAGTCCACTCCGGTCCACTCCGGACCAACAACATGTCCGAAATCCGCCGACCCCTGCCGACAGCAGGGGGAGCGCGTCAGAGAAGAGATTACAAGCAACAAGTGTTGTGCAGTGCAAGTGAGGGGCAAGCGAGGGGGGGACAGAAAGGGAAGCCAGGTGCAGAGTAAGAAGCCCAAAAAAGGAAGCGAGAAAGGAGAGGCAGTCTCAGCGAACGTAGCAAGCGAAAGAAGCACGAAACAAGAAGTTAGAAGCAAGAATGCAGAAGCAAGAGTAAACGAGCGACAGAAAGTAATGTTTGGCACTCTGGGCTACGGGCCGCGGGCCCAATCCGTCCTTCACTGCCATGGTGTTTTAGCCCTGCGAGGAAGTCCCTTGACCGGAGCTGTGCCGCACGAAAGCCAGCTGTCAGACAATGCAGGCAAGTGGCAGTTGGCAGTGCAGGAACGCAGGGAATAGCTAGGTTTGAGCCGCAAGACGACGCAGGCAAAGTGGCAGTTGGTAGTGCAGGAAGGCAGGGAAAAGCAAGGTTTGAAGCTAGTTTCTAGGCAGTACATTGAAAGCAACGTTAGGCACCGTGGGCTGCCGGCTGCGGGCCCGATCCGTCCTTCAGTGCCATGGTATTTGGGCCCTGCGGAGGGGTCCTTTGACCGGACCTGTGCAGGACGCACGCCAGCTGCAAGAAGACACGGGCAAGCTAAGTTTGGAGCTCGTTTCTAGGCAGTTCAGAAGGCAACGTTAGGCAGTGGGGGCCGTGGCCCGCAGGCCCCGTCCGTCCCTCCGGGCCCTGCTGTTTCGGTGTGGCGAGCGCGCCCTGTGTGAGCCTTGGCGGCTGGAAGACAGGTCTTGGCGGCCGTGGCCCGCACGCCCGGTCCGTCCTTCAGGGCCCTGCTGTTTGGCTGTGGCGGAGGCGCCGTTTTAGGTCAGACAGCTAGTTTTCTTGTAGGTTCAGAAAGCAACGTTAGGCAGTGGGGGCCGTGGCCCGCAGGGCCCGTCCGTCCCTCGGGGCCCTGCTGTTTCGGTGTGGCGAGCGCGCCCTGTGTGAGCCTTGGCGGCTGGAAGACAGGTCGTGGCGGCCGTGGCCCGCAGGCCCGGTCCGTCCCTCAGGACCGTGCTGTTTTGGCGTGGCAATCGCGCCGTGTAGTGTATGAGGTTTCGCGGCTGGAAGACAGGTCAGGCAGCTTGCTTTCTCGTAGGTTCAGACAGCAACGTTAGGCAGTGGGCGCCGTGGCCCGCAGGCCCGGTCCGTCCCTCAGGGCCTTGCTGTTTTGGTGTGGCGAGCGCGCCGTGTTTGAGCCTTGGCGGTTGTAAAACAGCAAAGAGAGTTACTTTTTTTGTAGGTGCAGAAAGCGACGTTAGGCACTGAGTGCGGTGGCCTGCAGGCCCGGTCCATCCTTCAGGGCCCTGCTGTTTGGCTGTGGCGGAGGCGCCGTTTTAGGTCAGACGGCTGCTTTTCTTGTGGGTTCAGGGGGCGACGTTAGGCAGTGGGGGCCGTGGCCCGCAGGCCCCATCCGTCCCTCAGGGCCCTTCTGTTTCGGTGTGGCGAGCGCGCCCTGTGTGAGCCTTGGCGGCTAGAAGACAGGTCGTGGCGGCCGTGGCCCGCAGGCCCGGTCCGTCCCTCAAGACCCTGCTGTTTTGGCATGGCAATCGCGCCGTGTGTGAGCTTTGGCGGCTGGAAGACAGGTCAGACAGCTAGCTTTCTTGTAGGTTCAGAAACCAACGTTAGGCAGTGGGGGCCGTGGCCCGCAGGCCCCGTCCGTCCCTAGGGCCCTGCTGTTTCAGTGTGGCGAGCGCGCCGTGTTTGAGCCTTGGCGGCTGGAAGACAGGTCGTGGCGGCCGTGGCCCGCACGCCCGGTCCGTCCTTCAGGGCCCTGCTGTTTGGCTGTGGCGGAGGCGCCGTTTTAGATCAGACAGTTACTTTTCTTATAGGTTCAGAAAGCAACGTTAGGCAGTGGGGGCCGTGGCCCGCAGGCCCCGTCCGTCCCTCGGGGCCCTGCTGTTTCGGTGTGGCGAGCGCGCCCTGTGTGAGCCTTGGCGGCTGGAAGACAGGTCGTGGCGGCCGTGGCCCGCAGGCCCGGTCCGTCCCTCAGGACCGTGCTGTTTTGGCGTGGCAATCGTGCCGTGTGTGAGCTTTGGCGGCTGGAAGACAGGTCAGGCAGCTTGCTTTCTTGTAGGTTCAGAAAGCAACGTTAGGCAGTGGGGGCCGTGGCCCGCAGGCCCGTCCGTCCCTCAGGGCCTTGCTGTTTCGGTGTGGCGAGCGCAGCCTTGGCAGCTGGAAGACAGCTAAGAGAGTTACTTTTCTTGTAGGTTCAGAAGGCCGTGGCCCGCAGGCCCGGTCCGTCCCTCAGGACCGTGCTGTTTTGGCGTGGCAATCGCGCCGTGTGTGAGCTTTGGCGGCTGTGGAAGACAGGTCAGGCAGCTTGCTTTCTTGTAGGTTCAGAAAGCAACGTTAGGCACTGAGGGCGGTGGCCTGCAGGCCCGGTCCGTCCTTCAGG